TTCGAATTGGATCCGGATTATTATTTTTTGAAAACTGTTAGAGAAATTTTATAAAAGTAAGCTTGAACTTTCGATTATGTCAAATAGAATTTCCGATATATATTTACTAATATGTAAAGGATATACAAAGCGAAAGTATCTTTCGGAGTCCATTAAACAAAAAGTGGAATTGCTGCAAAAAATGGATAAAGGCATATGCTTTGTTTATCTAAACTTTAACGTCTGTTTATCTAAACTTTAACGTTTGTTTATCTTTAACGCTGCGGCGGCCTGCAATGAATTGGAAGTTGATCTGTCAGCACTATCCTTATCTTAAGGGCAGATGTTTTTATTTTATTTGACTTATAATTGCTTACTCAATGTAGTATTTCATGTCGATGTACTCAGTCTTTGATATGATTTAAATCAAATGCCTCCTCATTATAATTCGCTTCCGAGAGCGAAGAAAGTGACAGAGATTATTGAAAACGAAAAAATTTCGATTGACAAATTAGTCGGTATTCTCGACACAGCAATTATAGGACTTGAACAGCGGAACTTTGTAACTGAACAAGAAATTATGTCTGTTTATAGAATTAAAGAGAATGTATTATCACATAAAAAACGAAGCAACTTAAACAACTTACATTGAAAGAAATGTTTAAAAAAGTAAACAAATAAATATTAAGCTTTTTTTTTTTTTGTAAATTTTGATACCCTTTAGATCATAATTGTTCTTTATTTCGTAAATTACGGTTTCATATTTTTAATTTTATAATTTCTGCATGCCATTTTACCAGATTTAAACTGATGATCTATAATCCGGAAAAATCGATAATCCGGAATCGCCGAAGTCCCGACGAGTCCGGATTAACGACTTTTGACTGTATTTTTTTTATCTTAATAGTTCACCTGCAAATTCTGGTCCTCCTCAAAGCGAAGGAAAATCATTAAAAATATCTTCCAATTTAAAAATATTTTTATAATCTAAAAAGAATCTTTAAAAAAAATGAAAACATGTCCTTAAAAATGTAAAAAAAAATTAAAATCCTACAGTGGAAAATCTTTGAAAGTTCAGAATAATGTTAACACAAAACTTTACTAGAACCTCTTATCAAACAGCAGTAGCAAAGGAAAATGGGGGGGGGGAAGACAAATCATTAAAAATATCTTCCAATGTAAAAAGATTGTACTAGTCTAAAAAGAATATTTGATATTCTACATTTACAGGATTTTATCAATTTGAATTTTTATTCGGCTAATCTTTGGAATATGGTAACAGGTAGTTTGGCGACATTTTGGTAAGGCGATAAAGGTTACTAGCTAGGACATGGATATAGTCAAGAGTATGCGCAATGCCATTTTTGTGCAATTCTGAGATGATTTTTTAAGTGAAAATAGGTCAACATGTACATGGATGATACCATGTATGTGCATTTCTTAAAAACGCGGCAAGCAGTGGGCGATTCTGCACTTTCTCCCAATTTCGCACCTAATCTTCGTCATGATTAAGCATTTTTGTTCCATAAAAGTTCTAGTATAAGTATAATTCGGCTAGCAGATTGTTGGAAAAAATTTTAAGTAAAAAAACAAGCCTTTATTTCGTGAAAACAAAATGGCATCCAAAATAAAACTAGCAGGTTGCTGTAGCAGGGTTGGTCGCCAAAAAATCGCGAAGTTGCCATAATCCAAAGATTAAACTTTTATTCTTTGTGAAAAATTGGTTCTAAATTTCTTTCTTTATATATTTACTGATCAATTTTTAGCAGGATAATGCACGAAAATTTTCCTTTTAAAAAATAATTTCTATATACATAGTCCAAACACATCTGTATACAGTGGAATACGTTTAAAACGAAATATCAGTTAACACGAAATAATGCAACGGTTCCGACAAACTACTATGTATTTTCATGCATTTTGTTTCTCTTCACACGAAACAAAAATCGCTTAATACGAAAAGATATCCTTTCTGGGAAAGAACAAAATATAGAAAACACCCGCATCGCAGGCGAGAATTGAGCGGGGTGTGAAATGAAAGAGAGGTGGTTTAATTTGATGCTAAAAAAGACAATGCAAAGAAAAATATCAGATTATTTTCCCAAAACTCAATATTTTGTTTTTCAAAAAGCTTGAAAATTTTGTATTAAATTTCATTAAGTTCTTGAGGATGTTTTTTCGTTTCATTGATTTTTATTAAATACATACATATCACTGCAAATAAAATGTACTCTAATAAACTTATTTTGTTGAATATATGTTTTTTTTTTTTTTTTTTTTTTTTTTCAATATTCCACAAAAAAGTATTTCAGTCCCCTCAGTTTTGTGTTAAATGATTTTTACTGTATATCTATTGCACATAAATCCCTTTCTTACATAAAATATATATGTATGTACTATAAAATAACCAAATAAATTGTAAAGGAAGTTTAATTAACAACTATGAAATCTTAAAAAAGTAGTATGAAATTTATAATGGCAAACATTAAAATAGATGAAAGTAAATAAAATTTAAATTATAGAATTTACTTTATAAAATTAATAACAAGTGGTTAAAATATATATTTTAATTACTTAAAACATGGACGTTATTTGGCAGAGATAGTTGGATATAAAATTACTACTTCAAATTTTCAGATTACTATTATTCATATTTAAAGTCTCAACTTGCAATCTTAATCCACTTAACAACCATTGCAAAAATCACCCGTTATCATATTCCAAAGATCAGCAGCATACATTTTTTTTCAAAATCATGCATATTAAATATTGGCTTTTGATAGTCAAGTTGATACAAATAAGATGAACTGTTTTTATGATTTTAGACTAGTAGTCTATTCTTCCATTCACTTACTTTTCTACAGTATTTCATTTTTTGTATGCTCGACTACCCAAAATTTCAAGAGCGGCTAATCTTTCGAATATGGTAACAGGTAGTTTGGCGACATTTTGGTAAGGCGATAAAGGTTACTAGCTAGGACTTTAGCAGTGTACATGGATAAAGTCACGAGTGTGCGCAATGCCATTTTTGTGCAATTCTGGGATTTTTTTAAGTGAAAATAGGTCGACATGTACATGGATACCGTGTATGTGCAATTCTTAAAAACGCGGCAAGCAGTTTGCGATTCTCCACTTTCTCCCAATTTCGCACCTAATCTTCGTCATGATTACGCACTTTTGTTAATTAAAGTTCTAGCATAAGCGTAATTCGGCTAGTAGATTGTTGGAAAAAAATGTTGAGTAAAAAAAGAAAAAAAACATGCCTTTACTTCGTGAAAACAAAATGGCATCCAAACAAAAACTAGCAGGGTTGGTCGCCAAATTTTCACCAAAAAATTGCAAGTTACCATAATCCAAAGATTAACCTCAAGAGCTTACCTGATATTTTTTTAGTTGAGTTTTTACTGTACACACATTTCAGTATTTACACCGTCAAAAGTGCACAGACACATACTTGAAGTGAATTTACTTTTACAGCTAAACACAGGAACTGGAAAACAAAAAAGTACTTATTTGGAGATTGTATTTCTTTTTCGTTCATGAAAATCAAAGTTTATTACACAAACATGCAAGCATGTATGGAAATTCTTAACACATTTAGTAATCCTGATAATTGATTACACATTTAGTAAATAAATCAGAAAATATTTTAATGTATAACAAATGAATAAAGTAGTTAAGCTTTCATAAAACAGAGCATAATACTACAGTTACTAAGATATTTAATGTTATAAAGTTAGGTAATTTAGTAAATTTCAGTTTTTCACCAAAGCAATGAAGTATTTCGATAATTATGAAGTTCCTCATATATCTTTATAGACGAACTTTATTGAAATTCTTCTTATTATTATTTAGTTCACATAGAGGCACTCCAATTCTTTCATATTCCTTGATCTGAAGTTTTCTGCAAGTGTTTTTTTATTAAAATTGCTGTATTGGCACACATACAATTTTTGTATAGTGGCTTCAGATGTGGATAAGTTTTTCGAACAATCTCGTTTGTTTTACTGTCGTCGCTGAATTTTGCGATAAATGCATTACATTTACTGCCGAGTATCACCTTCCAGACTTTTCATACTGTTAATGTACATCAGCAGTGAATTATTCTCCTCTTTCCTCAAATACACTACGGCGATAAACAATAACCGTTCACTAAAGATTTTGCGTAAGTTTCCACTCATAATAATTTAAAGTGCTCAAATCTCACAATTAAAGCACCTAAACACACTATTCAGCAGAATTCTTTCGAAAGCGCGCCGTAGTAGTCAAAAGTGGGGTAGGCCGTCTTGCCCAGGTGAAACTAGTCGATATTTTCGTGACGTCAAAAATTCGAAAAGTGGGGTAGGGTTTGGAAATACGCCTCCCACTACCGCCTGTCTTATGGCAAATCGGCGTAAAATGCTTGTACCTGGGCTGATTGTGCACATGCGCTAACGTAGGTGGTGCCAATAGCCTCAGAGGCCCCTGCGGCTGAAAGTACCGGTTCTCGTCCTATCTTCCATGATTATAGGCCCAAATCTACATAAAGTTGATTTCCCTTCTAAATGACCCGATTATTTTTTGATAACTTCATTGTAAATTTTCGAGATATTGTAAAAAATTAAAAACTGTGAAAATTGAATTTATTTTCTCAAACTCGCTTTTACAGTCTACCTAGAGTTTCAAAAAATATTTCAGAAAACTAATGGCCAATAACGTTTCACCTGGATAAAATCACTTGCCAATATTTCTTCAATTCCTTTTCCCTATGAAATCTTCCTTTCCCCTCTCTCTTCCATTCATCACGAAACGTTTACTTGTGATGACGAAATAAAATACTGTATCCGTCCTTGAAGCAGCCAAACGTAACCGCGAAAATAAACTCTGATTGGTTTGATAACACAAGCTAACTTTGTCGTAAATTGAAAATTTTCCAACTTTTGTCTTCCAGACCTCCAATTTAACTTTTTTGAAATCGTAATCGAATCAGTGACGTCATTATCAGCATGCGCTTTATGTTGTTAAACAACTCAACCACCACACATATGTTTTGTGACGTCATGCACGTCAACACAAACTCGCTCAAATGAACGTATAAAGGACGATAAACTGAAACAGTTCTGCGTAGTGTATGTTTACAAAGAATTAATATTTGTTGTTTGCTACAGTGATAATTCACACATGCCATTTTTAGGAAGAGATTGGAGATCACCAGGTGAAGCCTGGGTTAAAACATCAGAAGGTTGGGAACGAAAGAAAATCTTGGAATATAAAAGCAGTCATGGTCAGACAAGGTAAACAATGCATTTATTACAGAGAAAATATTCCTTTGTTACAGTTGCACAGAGTATTTTTCATTTGTGGGAAAGTTACTGCCTCATAAGTAGGCAGTATAATTTATATTGTCATTTATTACTAAATAATAAACAACCAGCTGCACTTTGTCTTTTGTAAACAAACCATAAATCTCAGTTGAGCTATTGATTTTTTACTTTTTGTTTACATATTATTTAAATCTGAAAAAGAAGGTTGTTCGTTTGGACAGTTTATTTAGAAAAGTTACATATTTATTTTTTCAGTTTATTTAATTTAATTTTCACTTAACTCCTGGAATTTTTATATTATGAGGTTTATCTTTCTTGATCTATTTAAATTTGTCGTGAAAGGTACTTTTTTTATTCGTATGGTATTTTTCATACTTTCGTTTTGAAATTATTTTTTTTTTTTTTTTTTTTAGTGGTATAAGTTTAAAGTTGTTTCAAGTATTTGCAAAGAAGCCAGTTGTTGGTAGTCTAGAGTGATTTAATGCTTTTTAATTCAAAAGCATCCTTCAGTCCAGTACAAGGAGCAATGCAGCCAGCCTTTTATTTACTTGCTAAATATTTAATTTTACTTTAGAATATGAGAAAAAACTACTTTTATTCAAGTTTTGGTATTTATTAATATTTTTTTCTTTTACATGAAATTTATAAAACACTGTAAAGATATATCTAAATTTAAGTAATTGTATATGTATTTTCTGAGTTTTGGAAAGGAGGGGAGGGATGATGGTCTAGCAGTGGTGAAAGGGGTGAATGGGCAAGACAGGTTGAAAACCATCACTCTGCTTTATGTTCAACATTTTAAAATAATTCAAGAACTGAAAACTATTGCTGGAGTAATATTGCAGTTACTGTTTTTGAAAGATAGAAAATTTAAAGTAGTTTAAACTGCTAAATTCACTTCTTTTTAACACCAAGCAGTTTTTAACATGATGTTTTGAAAAAAAAAAGTGAATACTAGTCGCTGTCTTGCTTAATACATAATATTTAAATTTTCAGATTTTGTCAGTTAATCAGTCTTTTTTTTTTTTTTTTTTTTTTTTTGAGTTTCCTCATATATAAATTGTTAGGAGTTGGTCAAAGTTATGTTTCCCAAAACTGCAATGAATTTAATTTCAATTAAGCCAGAAGATGATATTCATGTACAAAAGTCATCATTCGTTTTAATGCATCCATAATCAAAAATGGAGATAAATGTCATTTCGAATTTTTATAAGCTTAGCAGGAATAACCGAAAATGAAAATGTGAACAAATTGCAAAAATTTTGAAAAAATAAAAATAATAAATTTTAAAATCTTAGTTTTTATTAGATGACAGTTTTTTTAAAGGTTTCTGTAAATAGAAATCTTGATATGTTAACATTAAGTTACATTTCTGACACATAATTCATATGACAAGTAAATTAATAGATCAATTGCTTGGAATTTTTTATAAATCTGAAGCATTGTGATAAATAGAAAGATTACATAAGTATTAAATTATAATATATGGTTGCAAATGCTGAATATTTAGTAATTGTTACAATGCTTCCTGAATAGTGATATTTCCTGTTGTCCAAGCTTTTTTGAATAAAAAACATCGAAAGTAATCTTGTACTATTTGTGTAAAAAATCTTATTTAAAATGTCATATCAATTTTGAAATTTTACCACAGTTTGTATAAAAGTATATATGCTATTATTTTCACATTTAGACAATTCTACATAGCATTAAAGCTTCATAAAAATAATTTTTATCACCAACAGTTAACGCTTACTCACTGTAATTCATGTTCGAATTATCATGCTCATGCACAGTCTTTCCTAAGATATGTTCCAAAGAATTAAGAAATTGCATTGATATGTTTAAAACTAGTTAAACTGTTTCTGTATGTGGAAAGTAATAATGTAGCTAATAAAAGGTTAAAAAAAATAATTGTTAAATAAAAATGCAAATAAACATAAATCAAATTAGAAGAGAAATACACCAATGTAAAATTAAGCAAAATAGCAACATTAGTTTTTTTTTTTTTTTTTTTTTTTTTTTAGAATTTGAATAAAACTATCTATTTTGAAAGCAGTCAGATTAAATCTCCAAGTTTTATTTATGTCATTTTCAGCAGCAAAAAAGGATTTTTGATCACCCCCCCTCAAAAAAATCCTTTTTTGTCCTTAAGAAGAAAGAGAGTCTTGTGTTTGATCTCCCTGGAAATTGAGAATTTTATTCTCCCCCCCCCCTCTTCCTGAAACAGAGTAATCTGTGTCTGACTACCTTCAAACCTGTGATAATGCTTTAATCAAAATCTATGTTGAACTAAGGCTGCTTTTTTTTTAAACCTAATTTGAAGACTTAAATGATTTACAACATAATTCATAATTTTTACAAGATTTGCATTGTTTGCAAAATGTTCGTCATTAGCCAGCTATTTTTCAGCTTGAATTCTTTCTCAATCTGTCAAGGAATTCCTTTGACCCCAGGGGGGTATTTCATGCTATCTGAAGAGAACTGCTGTGGTATCACTAAATGTATTCCCTTATTTATATCTATTAAATATAATAATTAGTTGCATATTAATAAATATGTAAATAATATATATTTATTAACTTTAAACTAGAATTTATATGTGCTTTTGTAATATACTAAACCAAATGTTTCCTTTTTCATGAGTTATTTGAAATTCTTGACTTGAAAACCTTTAGGGTGGATAATAATCTATCATATTGTGAAATAAAAGTAAATTGGGGAGAGAAGTTGAAAACCATTAAATATATGAAAATTATTTTAAAATATATTAATTATGAAGAATGTCATGAGTTAATTTAGTCCTCTTGTGCAGTTTGCAGTATTTTCGTAAAATTTAATATTATTTTTTAATGATTTATTTTTACTTCAGTATCACTTGTATATATATTTCTATGGCAATGTAATTTGAAATAATAAGCTGGATTTTAAAAAGTAACTTCAGCATTATCAGTGAATGCCAGTATGTTAGATACATTGCTTTTATTGTTCAGCTGTGCAGAAACAAAGCTCAGGAATACACATAGCTGGGAGCCCGAGGTTATGCCAAATTTAGATTTTTGCTGATTTAAGATCATGAAAGAATAAAGTATTTATGTGTTGTGGCAACTACCTTAGTAGAATTCGCCAGATTTTGCAATGTGCCAAACTCTGGGAGCCATGCACATAACCACTTTTCAGGCAACCATTCATATATCAGTCCTTCAATTTAAGCAGCGTCGGTATTTTCATATGCGTTTTCTTATTTTAAGTTCCAACAGATTTTATAAGCAAACTGTGGTTTTTTTTTTTTTTTTTTTTTTTTTTTTAAATATGCGCTTGCGGAATTTGACAGCAATGGAAGAAACTTCAGTTAAATTTCTGCAGGAATACTGAATTTTTCCACAAAATGTCTACCGGGGAACAACCAAGAGATGCGTTTGGTAGATAGCCGGTGTTGCCGAGGTTTGCGTGATGAATCTCTTCAATTCTGTGATGTTTTTTAAGCGAAAACAGATCGCTGTGTACTTGGGGAAAATAATGGAGCAAAAAAATTGGTAAAAATATATTTACGGGTGTCCCTTGGCGATTTTTGGTGGTACATGGACACCGAGTTTGTGTAATTCTTTGACTTGTTATTTTGGCTGAAATCGCCGCTACACTGTACTGAACGTACTGTCACAGACAAGTCAAGGTGAAGTCTTAGAATCATGTACTCAGATATTTAGATGCATTTGACGTTGACATTATTTTTGTGAATAAATATCCGGTTTTAACGAAAGTTTCCCGCCATCGCAAATATCGTCTGCGCAAACAAATCACGTTGGCATGTTAATCATATTTTGTTAAACGATTTCTGACATTTGAAAGAAAGAGACACTTGCTATAGAACACTGTGTTGTGAAATTTGTAATATATATATATTGTCGTCATTAAGTACAAGGTGTCTGAAATGGAATTATCACGCTACCAGATTAGAACCATCATTTACTTCCAGTTCCGTTGCAAAAAGTTAGCTACAGAATGTCACGAAATCATGTGTATATCTTTAGGTACTAATGTTGTATCATAAGACACTGTGAAGGTTTGGTACTGAAAACTCAAAAACAAGGACTATGACATTCAAGAAGCAGAGCGTTCTGGCCAGCCTACTGATGTTGATGAGGCCCGCCTGCGAGAACGTGTGGAAGAAGATCAGTATGCAACCAGTCGAGAGCTTGCTAAGGAGTTAGACGTTAGTGCCGTGCCCATTTGTCATGCTATGCATCGCATAAACTTGATGTACAAGCTCAATCGCTGAGTGCCGTATGAGCTGACTCAAGCAGATAAGGATATATGTGTTTCAGGCCTCTACTAATTTGCTGGAATATTAATGGAAGGACAAAATTCTTGACCGGATCGTTACTTGTGATGAAAATGGATTTATTTCAACGACACAGGCCAAAAAAGGGGTTGGTCTGCGCCCGTCAGCAGCGTCGCAAAGCGCAGTTTGACTAACAAAAAGATCATGCTTTGCATGTGGTGGGATTGGCCGTGGTATTATCCACAAAGAGTATCTGGTAAAAGATAACAACCTAACAGTAAGGTGTGCAGTGCGATGCTGGCCCGTGTTGATGCTGCTATCAAGGAAACCTTTTTTCGCACCTGCAGCTACATCTTGCTGGTGCCATCTTCCATTTTTCAGAGGACATCCGAAATGAGGTTGATCTGTTTTTGGACTCGCGACCACCAAGGTTTTGGGCCCGAAGGCTTTAAGAAACTACCAAAAAGTTGGCAGAAAATCATAAATTTGGCTGGCGATTGCTATTCACACTAAAGGTACTGCTTTCAAGTTTTTTATTCTAACTTTATTAAGAACGTATTTTGACGGAAAACTTTCGTTACAACTAGATATCTATCCATATAAAGCTAAGCTGATTTTCTGTTTTCTCTAACATCTAGATTTAAGGTGGTAGATAGTCTGTTTCGAAGTGCTGAAAAGAGTTATTACAAGA